ATTGGTTCATTGTGTCTTGCAGTGAAGTGAACTTAAATTTCCCTTAGCCCATGTAATGGGTTATTTGCTATTGGTTGATGGGGTTATTCAGTCTGAAATACATTTTGTAGATTATTTACTTGTAGATTTACATGAATTGCAGGCTATAACAGGGGATTCTGTTCTTCTAAAATTTGAGAAAGCTAAATGTGCTCTTGAAAATAGTCTTAAACGGGTGGAAGATATCGTTCCACAATCTATTGGATGTCAGGTAATAAACTTACTTGGTCATATGCCTTGCATTTCATGCATGAAACTCTTTTGTTTTTGTGGTTTATGATCCTGCTGTTGTATTTCCGTGGAGATTCTTACAAGGCTTCATGATTGCTGTTTTAAAACATATGACTGAGTGGAGGCTATTGTTGCTCCTTGGATTGATTCTTTTAAATTAATGAGTTCCGTCTGAGTTTTAAAGATGTGGGACTGGCCTGTGAAAATTGATAGCGTGTTGTTGGCAATATACAGTATTTGGTATTCATTGAACTCATTGTAGGGATATCCACATGCATAGATGTTGCCTTTTCTTTGGTACTGTAAATATTCAGCATGGATTGATATTAAAATCTTTTCCATGAATGGCGTCTGTGCAGATTCAAGAGATTGTGAGTGAACTTGAAAGCATGGAATTGGCACTTGACCCAGTGGAGAAGCAATTGGTGATAATTTAATTGCTTTGCTCCAGCAGGGGAGAAAGTTTAACGACTCTACTGATAATAGTGAGCTTGAATGTTTTCACCAAGCTGCTATTAGATTAGGAATCACATCTTCTAGAGCAGCTCTTACTGAAAGAAGAGCTCTCAAGAAGCATATTGAAAGAGCTCGGGCTGAGGATGACAAGCGGAAGGAATCAATTGTTGCATATCTTCTACACCTCATGAGGAAATACTCTAAGTTATTTAGAAGCGAGTTTTCAGACGATAATGATTCTCAGGGTTCCACTCCTTGTTCTCCCACTGTTATGGGCTCTATGGAGGATAGTGTTGCTTGTAGTCATTACCAGGCTTTTGACCGACAGCTCTCAAAACTTAGTTCTTTTAATTTTAAGCCACATAATAGAAAATCATGGCAAATGGCCCTTACACCAGAGGAGTTAAGGTGTCCAATATCCCTGCAACTTATGTATGATCCTGTCATAATTGCTTCTGGGCAAACTTATGAGAGGGTTTGCATAGAGAAATGGTTCTGTGATGGGCACAACACCTGCCCGAAGACTCAACAGAAACTTGCACATCTATCATTGACTCCAAATTACTGTGCCAAGGGTCTGGTTGCTAGTTGGTGTGAACAAAATGGAGTGCCCATTCCTGATGGCCCTCCCGAATCTCTTGACTTTAACTACTGGAGATTAGCATTATCTGAGTCTGAATCAACCAATTCGAGGTCTGTTAACAGTGTCAACTCTTGCAAATTGAAGGGTGTCAAAGTGGTTCCTTTAGAAGAGACTGGGGTCTCGCATGAGACTGGAGAAAATGGATCTGAAAGTGTGTCTGCACAAGAGGAAGATACTGAGCAGTATCTTAGTTTTCTGAAAGTCTTGACTGATGGGAACAGCTGGAAAGGGAAATGCAAAGTGGTCGAAAGGTTAAGGCTTTTGCTGAGGGATGATGAAGAAGCCAGGATTTTTATGGGGGCGAATGGGTTTGTTGAAGCACTACTGCAGTTTCTGCAATCAGCAGTGTCCGAAGGGAATGTGACAGCTCAAGAAAGTGGAGCAATGGCTCTCTTTAACCTTGCTGTGAATAACAACAGGTGCGTATTACCTTTTGAATTTTAACAGTTTTGAATTATCAAGTAGAACTGCTTTTCATGTGATACCAAAATGAACCGACTAATAGATATATGATATTTTCATTATCATATTGATCTGCTCATGTTTTATCTGATCACTTTTTTCATGGGCTCTCTTTATGCAAGTTTTGAGATCATGGTAAACTTATGAACGATTTTTTTCAAGTGCATTATCATATATGTGCTCATTTTGTTGATTGGCCTCCTGCATCTGATCATTTGATGGGAGTGCTGCTTTTCTCGATATTGAAGATGAACAGCAGCACATGTGTGGCTTGGCTAGTGTAGTAGTTTTAGAATGGAGTGATGTCCCTTTCTACCTTGACAAATAAGTAGGAAAGAAGTAGAGAAATGACATGCATAGAGCAAATTGATGTTGAAAATTGATCAATCCTTTTCAATGCTGACAATGATATGCTTGTAAAGTATAAATATGGTTTGGGTTTTACTTTAGTTATTTTTCAGCATTTTTTGTTTAGTCTTTTCCGCATATTTAGTTAGAACAAGAATGGTTAGATCCATTTAATTATTGTTTTTTTATTATAGATGTAGCAAATAAGTGGTCATTGAATATTTCTGAGTTTAGAAAGGTTTGGCAGATCAACAATATATACTTAATCTTGTTTCTCTCCAACAGAAATAAGGAGATTATGTTAGCAGGAGGAGTATTATCGTTGCTAGAGGAAATGATCGCTAATTCCAACTCTTATGGCTCTGCAACGGCCCTCTATCTGAATCTCTCTTGCCTTGAAGAAGCCAAGCCTACGATTGGCACGAGTCAGGCTGTCCAGTTCCTTATCCAGCTCCTCTGTCAACCTGACATTGAAGTCCAGTGCAAGCAAGATTCCCTTCATGCGCTGTATAATCTATCCACTGTTCCCTCCAACATTCCAAACCTCATTTCATCTGGCATCATTAGTGGCCTTCAATCCCTCGTTGCAGGCCAGGGTGATTGGATGGGGACAGAAAAATGCATAGCTATTTTGATCAATTTGGCTTCTTCTCAGTTGGGAAGGGAGGAAATGATATCATTTCCAGGACTCATAGGCGCGTTGGCTTCCATATTAGATACTGGGGAGCTCGTAGAGCAAGAGCAAGCTCTATCTTGTCTATTAATTTTATGTAACGGGAATGAAACATGTAGCCAGATGGTCCTGCAAGAAGGCGTAATACCTGCATTGGTGTCATTATCAGTGAATGGTACCTCAAGAGGAAGAGAGAGAGCTCAGAAACTCTTGATGCTGTTCAGAGAGCAACGACAGCGAGACATTTCCCCTCCCAAGACTGACCAGTTCCCGCCTGAACCTGAAACTAGTGATATAGAGATGCCGCCTCCCGAAACAAAACCGCAATGTAAGTCAATGTCTAGAAAAAAAATGGGGAGGGCGCTTAGCTTTTTATGGAAAACCAAGAGCTATTCTGTTTACCAGTGTTAGGTTCCATGTGTTGTAAATTTCTGCCTGTATCTTTACATTTCTTCCCTATCCTTGTCCCACGCCATGAGTGCTTATTTCTCTCCTCTTCTTTCTTTTTGTTTTGGGGTCATCCAAGCGAAGAAGAGATGTACAGTCCTGTGTAATTTATGGATTTTGTTTTCTTCTGTCGCTTTGCTCATTGTAATATTAATCTCTTAAGAGTGATAGATTCCAAAAATTGAGGTGGTTTGTGAATGTGTGTCGTAACGTCAGGAGTTGTCAAGTGTGATTGATAGATAGCATTTAGTAAGGTGGGCGGTCAGGTTTGGACGGAGGCGGCCAAAGCGTGAGCGTGTCATTTTCTTCCCGCAAATTAATTCCGACGAGTTGGCGTCATCTTCGGTCCATGTTACTCGGCTTGGTTTGCGCGTCCTGCCCTCTTGATTGATATTTGTCTCCGTTATTGCGTCAATTTTTTCTAAACTTCAAAATTGGAAGTATCCGAGCCTATATTTATGAAGACTAGTAAGTTGTGGCTCCAGTTATTTAAAATTTATTTAAAATTTTCCCTATTCTCAAAGTTGTTTCAATTTTGAACCGACTGATAATTTGCTTCTACAATTTGATTCTCAAAAACTTTCCCTTAAAGAGATAACATCAATCATTAAAACTAATGGAGATAACCCCCCCCCCCTTTTAATGCACTGGAGATGATACCTTGCACCGTTAGTTGAGGCTTGAAAGCAATTAAACGAAAATCACAAGCTCACCTGAAAAAGTCATGTAAGAATGAGTTTTGAATGCGTGGGAACAAGTCCATGTGAAGAAATTTTGAAGTCCATGTGAAGAGGTTTTGAATGAAGTCCATGGTAAAATTGCTTGTTTTAAAAACATATATTCCGTGTCACTTTTTTTTGGCTTGAGCTACAAAATTATATGTTGAAGTTCTGTAATCAAATAATTCTAATTAAAAACTCATTGATTTGATAGAGGGAGATGATAACTGTTGCTAATTAAGCGCTTCCATAATTCTAATTAAAAACTCATTGAGTTGATAGAGGGAGATGATAACTGTTGCTAATTAAGCGCTTTCCTTCCATGCTATTTATTGGAATGGTATGTGAAAATATTGATATGGGTGCTGAAAAATTTTCAACCAAAAGATGTAAGTAAGATTGATATCAATGATAGATGAAAAAAAAAACAATAATTATTATATAAATTATAAGCAAGATTTTCATGAGATCTAAGGCATTTGCCTTAATGGCCTAAAACATTGGTGGCCGAACAAATAATGGCCTAAAACCACACGGCTCTAAATGGAAATCCAATCCTATGGTGAAGCCTATCAAGAACACTTTTGAACTGGAGGAGAGCCCAGGCCTAACAAGATCCTTAATGTACAAGACCCATATCTAGGTAATGAAAAAAAATTTATAAATAATTTTTAAAAATTATAATGAATTTAAAAATATTATTTTTCGGGACAGCAATTTGAATTATTGATTGCTATGAAGTAATCATTTAATTACTGTATAAACTAGGAGTTTAATTGCTTCCCCTTGTTATAAGTGATCATGACATGATGCTATCATTGGGTAATAATCAAACGTATTGTTTTGTACGTGTATATATTTCTGATGTATTTAAGTAACTCAAGGCGCCAGAGAAGAAAATTAATCTATAAAAAGACAAAAAAGAAATTATTTTGTTAAAAAAAAAGAAAGTATTATCACAAATCATAATGGACTTGGAGTACTTGGTTCTAAGTAAACGTCTATTTTGTCTATTGTACGGCACAAAAATGCATCATAAGATAAAGCTATTCATTCAAAAGACCTGAACAAATAAAATTAAAGAACAGACTTGCACTAAAACATGAATTGTTAGTAGCAGTACCGTTAGTCTATGGATGGAACCTAGGAACCATAACGGTCAAAACTCGAAGGTATACTAAGGCTGCATTTCCTTGCTCGTGTCATCATCAATCATCACGAACAGAATCCAATTGTTGGCTCAAATAACATGTTTCATACTTCATAGAGTCCATCCAGACTCGAAAAATCCCAGAATTGAATCTTCTTCCTCGATTCTTCCACTCCTTCCCACTTCATCATTCACATGAACACTTGCATTCAAACCTTCATCCTCATCATTCATTAATGCTTCCTTGTATGAGCCTCTCTTCTGGACACCTGCATTTACATCTTCATCCTTATCTCCCACCAATGCTTCCTTGTATGAGCCTCTCTTCTGGACACCTGCACTTACATCTTCATCCTCATCTCCCACTAATGCTTCCTTGTATGAGCCTCTCTTCTGGGTTGAGGCAGCCATGGTGACCCTTTTGTTGGCAGCTTCAGAAGGCTTTGATGCTGACGTAGGAATAAACCTGATTTCCTTATTACTCTCATCGTTGTCAGTTCTCTCTAAGTCATTTGTAGGGCAAATCGTGTTCTTATCAATTGTTATCTCTTTGATCTTTGATTTATCCAGTACACAACGGATCAATATAGAAACCAAAAAATTCAACCACGAGATCAAATAGAGCAACACGCACTCCAGCCCCGGGAATTGGTGGATGATTTCAGGAAGTTTGGTCAGAGCATCATCGAATTTCTCTGGCAGGGACATTATCACAAGCACAAGATCGTCATTCTTGACGAACAAATGCGACGAAGGCGGAAACATTGTCTCGATTATCTTTTGAACTACAAGAAATTGATCATCCAGAAAGGAGAGTATCGCTAACCATTCACATTGAACAGCGTAGATGATAGGATTTGCAGGTTCTGCTAGATTTGCGATTCTTCTCCAGGTTGAACCTAAAGGTCCGTCAAATTCTAGAGTTTTTCTGTATGCAATGTCAGCCATTGCTAAGATCGAAACTCCCGAGGCATGTAACGGTCGATTTCCAGCATTCGATCTTCTGGCCGCGGCTTTCTGCTGAAAAATCAAAATTCAAATCAAAAGAAATGATCATCGTAGTATTCATATATCACCTGAACTGTTGTAGTGCCTAGAAAGATCGTGACATCTCTCAAGTCCAACATAAATTGTTTTCTAAATGATCTGCTCTTCATATATTACAAAACTTCCACTGAAATAGAAAACTTACTTGCCAAGAAACATTGGTGGATGACATTTGGAAGATTGAAGCGGAAGTCGCCAGCTAGGTATGAGAACGAAATGACGATCGAATATCTTTTGAACACCACTATGTTTCAGTGCTTCGGAGTCCAAAAAATTTCCATTGAAATACAGAACTCAATAGCCAAGAGAAATTGCTAGGAAACCAAAATTCTGCTGAAAATCTATTCCTTCCAAGAGTTCAAAGATTTCTGATTTCTGGGGGTAAAAGCTAAAGAAAGGTCTTTCTAAATTAAAGAATTGGATGGCCCTATGGTAGACATTGTTACGAGAATAGTTTATGGAAACCTTTTTCGCCCCTGTAATAGCATCGAATGGAGTGTAACGCCTTTCATTTCACCAGCATGATTCGTGCCCTCGTCGGAGGCGTTGTAGGATCGTTACCTAAAATATTTTAGGCGCCTGAGTTGTTAATTTGGTAATCTATCAAATTAGTTAAAATTAAAAGTAGTGCAGTTCTAACTACTTGGACCTTGGGATTATTTATGGCTTGTAAACGTTAGCATCTAGCGGCCTTCCTTTGATTGCTTAGAGATATCTTTTTATTAAGGACAATTTTATTTAAAATACGATTGAATATTAAATGTAGGTATATTTTTATAGTGAAGTTTTGAACCTTAATTTGATACGTTATTTTAGTGGCATTCTTCTAATTTTATGTGTAAAATGCATGAAATTTATTTTGGAAGAGGGGGAAAAGGCCAATGAGACATATGTGAGTAATTTATGTGCAAATTTACTAAACATTAATTTCTAAATATATAGATATATGATAAATATATGTCATTCTTCTAATTTTATAATTAATATGAATACTCCCCCCCCCAAATTTCTCTATGTTTAGTGCTTATATAATTAAAGATTTTGAAACAAAAAAATACACATTTTTTTATAAGTAATAGGTGACCACATTTAGTGCTTAATAATACCTTATACAATATTATCTTCAATAGGAGAATACTTGTAGCTAACAAAAAAAAAAGAGATTACATTTATTAATTATAGTTTGGCAATTAAATGGAAATGATTGTGCCCATAGCCTCGCCTTCTAGGTTGTTTTATTTAAAAAAAAAAACTATGAGAGAACTATCCCTTTTTATGGTTATGGGATGCTAGATAGTTGCTATAAAATTACAAATTCTTAGTTATTTCTAAATTTATACATTCTTTCAAAGATTCAAATTACATTTTAGATAGACAATTTAGACATCTGAATAATAGTGGGATTCAACAGACTATCTTTAATGTGGGACTTCATACTCTACATGTGAGAGCTGAAGGTTTGTGAGGTTGAGGGATTGTAAGAGTGAGTGTTCTTGGTGATTGGAAGTATGGAGGTGGTGAGATTGATGGTGATGGACCTAGATGAAGTTATTAGCAATATGATTGTATGGAAGGATGATGAATCTCGAAGGATTTTGATTAGTAAGGTACTAGTAGAGAAGGAAGGGAATAAGTCTACCTTTGAATCTATGGTGAGGAAGGTTTGGAATCTTCAAGATGGACTTGAGATTACAATGATTAAGGATAATTCTTTTGCGTTTAGGTTTGATGGAGAGAGCGAATATTATTGAATCTTACGTGGTTGACCTTGGTTGATCAATGAACAACTACTTAATATCAATGTTTTAAAAACCAGATCGAATGTTAAATTGAAAAAGTTAGCGATTCATGATTTTTAATGTTTAATTGGTTAGACCGGTGGTTGAACCAAAAAAATAATTAAATAAAAATATTAATAATAATATGAATTAATAAAAAAATTTAAAATGAATAAAAATTAAAAATTAAAAAAAATCTTTTTTAAATATTTGAAAATATGATATAATACTTATCATATCAATTTTATAATTTTATTTTTTTTAGTTTTATTATTTATTTTATCATATAATAATTTTAAATTTCAACTTATCATAGAAATATATTATATACAGAGTATCCAAAAAACAAAATTGAAAATAATAAACTAATGGACACACACACACAAAGACAAAAAATTAATAGACCAAGCATTCTTTTCCTTTCTTTTCTTTTTGATTAAAATAGACCTTGCTTTTAATGTTCCTCAATGACCATTGAGCATGAAATCTTATAAAGTTGAAGACTGAAAATAACTTCTATAATATGGCTCCTCTTACATCATTTACTCTTTTGATATTTATATTTTTTTTGACCTTTTGTTTTTTGTTAAGCATATTCAATTCCAATATTTTCCCTTATCTCTCTCGCAACTTCTTTGTTCGTCTTCTCATATGCTCTCTGCTTGTGCTTGTGCTCTCTCTAACTTGGTTCTTACTGTTGATGTTGATCAAATGGAAGAAACACAGTGCTTACTACTCATTCAGCTTTGTCTCCTTGCTTCTCACTTCTTTGTCTTCTTGATAATATGATCTCTTTTTCATCTCAACTTTCTCTCTCCTTGCATGCCTTTTTTGAGTTGTTGTTCTTCTTGCTTGTCCGGCTCTCCACATTTTTTCAGCTTCTAGTCGAAATCCTAATTCTAAATGGCTCAACCCAGCCTAACTAGTGAAACGGTTTAAAGCTAAAAGTCGACTCATTCTCTTCACTGATAGACAGCAGAACTAGTTTGATCATTCGGTTTGGTCTTTAAAACACTACTTAATATACTAGAATGGCTAAAGCTTAAGGCGATGGATAAATTAGAGTTAAGTTGTTGTCCTATATGGATTCAAGTACATAATGTACCTCTGTCTGTGATGGATTTAGATTGAAGGAAGAGTAGGTGAAGTGGTGATGGAAAAAGATTTATGGTTTTAGAATTGATTGACATGAGGTTATCTACGGGCGAGAGTAGTTTTGAATTTGAGGAAGCCTTTGCCAATTGGCTTTTGGCTTTCGAAACCTAATAAGGATAAATCATAGATTTATGAGAGGTTACAAAATTATTGTTATAGATGTGGACGAATTGGCCATGATCCTTAGGGATGTAGATTAGAGAGGCTCATGTTGGTTGTGAATCCTAGCAAGCCAAGGTATGAACCATAGTTATCAGTGAATTCTGTGAGATTTTGGGAAGAGGCAATAGTTATGGAGAAGGATGGATGGTAGGAAATTGGTTTCAAAAAGTGTAGGGAGAATGGATGGAGAAAGGAAGGTAGCATGAGAAGTGTATTTTAGAAATTAATCGTTGATGATGTCAATGACGTGTTTGTGATAGAGTTGGAGAAGAAATTGACAGGAGAAAGGTTAAAGAAGTATAGGGTTAAAAAAGAGAGGGTAAATCATAGATTTATGAGAGGTTACAAAATTATTGTTATAGATGTGGACGAATTGGCCATGATCCTTAGGGATGTAGATTAGAGAGGCTCATGTTGGTTGTGAATCCTGGCAAGCCAAGGTATGAACCATAGTTATCAGTGAATTCTGTGAGATTTTGGGAAGAGGCAATAGTTGTGGAGAAGGATGGATGGTAGGAAATTGGTTTCAAAAAGTGTAGGGAGAATGGATGGAGAAAGGAAGGTAGCATGAGAAGTGTATTTTAGAAATTAGTCGTTGATGATGTCAATGACGTGTTTGTGATAGAGTTGGAGAAGAAATTGACAGGAGAAAGGTTAAAGAAGTATAAGGTTAAAAAAGAGAGGGTAATGGAGGATGGGCTAAAGGATGATAAAGTCAATGATATTAAGGTGGCTAAAGGTGTTGAGTCTTGGGTTTATACTGTTGATGTTGGGCTTGGTATGATAAGGCCCAATGGTGTGAAAAATTGTATAGGTTTATTAATAAAGAGAATATTACTTTAGGCTCATATGACAAAGTGGATTGTGTCCAAAAGCTAGACTCGAGCTTAATTAAAAATAATGAGGATTATGCCCTTATTCCAGTTGTGAAGTAGAAGATATGTGAGGTTGAAGAGGATCTTGGGCATATGAAACTTAAGTGTGATGCTTGTGATGTGCTTGGTCCTTTAAGCAGCGGAGGATAACTGTCAAGCAATTAAGCCATAAAGCTATAGTAATAATTTATACCGAGATTGAGGGATATTAAAGATGTTATGCTAAGGTTTGATAGCAGGGCAAAAGAAGATTAATTTTGAAATTGGAAATGGATTGGGTAGGGGAAGAAAGAAGAGAAATGCAAGCATGGTTTCTAGAATTAATATTAATTCTAAAGGTGCATGGCTGGCCTCTATCAGCCACCAAGGAGCCATGAAGCTTATTGCATGGAATTGTCAAGGCTTGAAAAGAGCCTTTATAGTTAAAAAAACTAAGAGAGGAGTGTAAGTTGAATTATCCCTTAGTTGTGTTCTTAATGGAAACAAGGATGGGTAGAAGTGGTTTAGAGAAATTGAGAAGGAAGTGTAGATTGGATAAGGAATTCTATGTTGATCTTGTTAGCAGTAGGGGTGGTTTGGCGCTATGGTGGAAGGAAGACGTTGTGATCAATGTATGGTGTAGCTCAAGGAATTTAATTCATGTGAGTATGAATTTTGATTTGAAATAGGTATCATGTTATGTTATCTTTATATATGGGGCCTCATAAATTGAAGATAAATTGTTGGTGTGGAATAAGATGAGGAGCATTTTTGTTGGAGCTATAGGATCTTGGCTATGTCTTAGAAATTTCAATGGCATTTTGTAAAGTTCTAAAAAGCTTGGCATGCGTCTTATGAATTTGAGCAAAGTCTTGAGTTTTTAAAGTATGCTTCTAGATTATGGGTTGATTGATTTAAGGTTTAGAGGGGAGCTTTTTACATTGTGTAATGGAAGGTTAGGGGATGGCCATGTGAAAAAAAGATTGGTAGGGCAGTTGGAAATGTGGAATTTAGGGAATTGTATCCAAATATTGTTGTGACACATGTGACACATATTGAACTAATGGGTTTAGACCACCATTTTCTTGTGGTTGACTATGAGTATAAGTTGATTAAGGGTTAAAGATCTTTTCACTTTGAGGCAAATTGGATTAAGGATGAGAATTATTTGTAGATTGTGAGGAGAGACTGGAATGTTGATGTGGACTAGTATGAGAATAAGGTGATGGAGGTTGTGTGGAGTTTGGAAAATTGAAAGAAGGTTTTATCTAATTGGACAAAGGAGGTTTTTCCTAATGCTTGGAAAACTATAGAAAAGTTGACTACTCAACTAGAGGCTTATCATAGAGGTTTATGGACTTTTGATAATTTGACCCAAGCTTAAGAATTGGTTAAAAAGATTGAGGAGGCATAGGGAAGGGATGAAAAATATTAGTGGCAGAGATCTAAAATGTGGTGGCTAGGGGATGGTGATGGGAACACAAGTTTTTTCACACAATGTGTTATAGAGAAGAATGAGGAATAGAGTTTTAAAATTAAGAAATAAGGATGGTGTTTAGCTAAATGACGTGCATCAGATTAATGGTGCATTTGCTAAGTTTTATAATTCCTTGTTTACTTCTGAAGGTTATGTGGGCATTGAGGATGTGTTGAAATTTATTGATTATAGTGTAATTACTAAAGAGAATCAAATGTTACAAGGTGAGGTCTCTGTTGTAGAAATTAGGTGGTAGCCTTCTAGTTTGGTGCAAACAAAGCGCCTAGACTAGATGGAAGTTCTAGAGCTTTTTATTAGTATGCCTGGAGAGAGGTAAGTCCTAATGTGATTAAAATGGTGTAATATTTTTTTTTTAGAATCTAATGAGTTTGAGAGATATTAATAATACCAATGTGATATTGATATCTAAGGTTGATAATGCTGTTAATATGGGTTAGCTTTGGCCAATTGATCTTTGCAATTTCAATGATAAGACTATTTCAAAGGTTTTGGCAAATAGATTAAAAAACATTTTGCCTAGAATTATTTTTGAATATTGGAGAGCCTTTGTGCCTGGGATATTGATTTAGGATAATATAGTAATTGCTCATAAAACTTTCATTATTCAAAAAATAAAAAAGAAAGGCAATAAGGTGGAGATGGCTGTGAACGTGGATCGTAATAAAGCCTATGATAGGCTTGAGTGGAATTTCATTGACGCTATAATGAGGAAGTTGGGTTTTGGTGAAATGTGGATCTCTTGGTCATAGAGTGTGTTCATTTTGTCAAGCTTAATTTGATGATTGGTAGAAAGTCCATTGTTGCACTTGAGATGGGAAGGGGTGTAAGATAAAGAGATCCATTATCTCCTTGCCTTTTATTATGGCAGTGAATGTTCTGTTGAGAATGGTGTAGTTGCATGTGGATTGTGGGAAGTTAAAAGGAATAAAACTTGCTGTAAAGTGTCCAGTGTTGTCTCATTGTCTATTTGTAGATGATGCGTTGTTTTTTCTTGATGTAAAGAAGAGAAATTGTAGAGTTTTACAAAAGATTTTTGAGACTTACTGTAAGGCTTCTAATCAAGCTATCAATTTAGATAAGTCTTACATTTTCTTTTCTAAACATGCAAGGAGTAAACTGAAAGAGGAGATTTTTGATGTTTTGGGAATTATTGTAACCTATTCCCTTAGGGAGTATTTGGGGGAGGTTGAAGATTGAAGTTTTGGCATTTGTGGAGAGTAAGATGGGTTTCAAGTTGCAAGGATTGAAACAAAGGTTGTTAACCTTTGTAGGAAGGAAAGCGAAAGTGAGAGGCAGTGGCGAGTGCTACACCCATTTTTCCAAAAAGTTTGTGTTGATTTAGATAGCATGATTGCTAATTTTTGGTGAGCCAAAAAAGTAAACCGGGAAAGCAAGATTCATCGAAAGGCTTGGAGGATATTAAAGAAGCCAAGGTGGTACATGATTTAGGATTTTGAATTGTTTAATAAGGCTTTATTAGCTAAAACAACATGAAGATAACTTAAAAACTTAATGAATTGTGAACTTCATGTTTTGTCCAGATCTCCAAAAAATAATAAATAAATAAATAATGATGGAAATAAAAAAGTCTTATGGTTCACAATTTAAACAATTAAAAAATAAAAAATAAAAAAAATCCTCTTGCACTTTATGTTTGGAAGATGTCGTAATCCAACATTAATTTTTGAAAATAATAATCTCCCTTTTATGGTTGTGAAAGATGTAAACCATAATGACGATTTGGAACTAATGATGAAGTTCAATTGAGAATTAATTGGAGATTACGATTTGGTGAGATTGGATCATTGATGGGGAAAATCATTGTTGTGTGTATAAAAGAAGTAGAGGAGGAGGAGGAGGCAAAGGAATTCAAAAAAAGAGGGAGACGGAAAAGGGAAGGTAAAGGAGAGGGCTTAAAGGAAGAGAAGAAAGTTTGTTTAGTAAAGGTAAAGAACTATGTTGTCTTATATCACATCTTCTCACCTTGGACACTTTCTTATGAATCACACGTTCCAGTATTTTGTGAATTCATAAAAAAATATTATCCTCACATTTGAATTTGCTTCTTTCTTTCACTCTTTTCCCCCTCAAAGCCCAGCCTCTAATGTTTCCAAATACCCTAAGAAAAGCTAATGCCCTCATGCTTTTGGCTGCACATGTGATCTTAACGTTAATGGCTGAAGGGTAGAATTAACAATAGTTAGGATGGGTTTATCTTCTTTTACTTTGTTTATTTTATTATTTTGGTCTTTCCTCGTTTTCTATTCCTTTTCTTTTTTCCCGATTTCTATTTGTCCTGTTCTCTCTTCGATTGTGTGCAGTGTGCATATAACTTTTGTTTTGTTTTTTCTCATTTCATTTATTTATTTGTGTTTCTTTTTTTTTTCCCTTTCGATTTAACATTTCCTTTTTTAACATATTGCATGTTGATATTCAAATGTCACTTGCTTCTTGATTTTCTTCTTCTTCTTCTTCATTCTTTATTCATTTATTTCCTACCTCCCTTGGTAATACAAGCCTGGCAAATGCTTAATTGTGTTATATAGTGTTCTTATTATCTAAATGCCCTTTCTTTTGGTTGAATGTCACGTATATATAATTCTTACTTTTTTATTTGAAAATTATTTTTATTTCAAAAGGGTTTCAATTTTCCCCCTATGTCCGGCTTTAAACTTTTACCATATGAGTTTTTTTAAATCTTCACAGGTATATAGTCGATTGGTATGCGATATATAGCAATAAGTCATTGTAGGCATACCAATCAATGTATTTAATTTGTACTTAATTTCAAATCCACCTTTTTTGATTAAAATAAGGAAAATTTTCTTTTATGCTATGTGAGGTTTTGCGTGAGATTTTTAAAATTTTTACAATAACTTCAAGCTAAAATTTTTCTTTCAAGATCTTTTGTCAGATAACAAAGGAAGTCACTTTAAATCTTTAATAAATTAAAAGATACAAAGCCAACCAACAAATTATTTTTAAAAATTAACAAATCATTCTCCTAAAAGTCACCAATAAAATGATGTGAAATTTTATTCTCAAATTATGTTAGTTTTGATTCCTTTAAAGGATACATAAGCTCTAGATTTTTTATCCTAAGTTAAGTTCAACTTGTAAATAAATAATTTTTTTGTTTGATTTAATTTTTCTTCTTTTCTTCTTTTTATTGTTTTTGTTTTATTAAGGGTAATCACATTTAAAGTCATATTAATTTTGTTTAGTTAACTTAAGGTAACTGTTCTCATGAATGAGTGTTATGGGTTGCCTAACACATTTCCAATGCACAACCAACTTTTGAACCCTCTTTTAATTATTGTAAACCATTTTTAATAAGGTTTTCAAAATTATTCTCTTAAAATTTTGGTGACAACTCCTACATTTTTTTAATTTCTCCCTCCAAAGAGATAGCTGTTTAGGCACAATAATATGATGACTCTACTGAAAACATTTGGAGAATCAAGCCCATTTATGTTGATTATTCAAAATGATATATCCTTTTTTTAATTACCTTTTTTTTTATTTTTTTGACCTTTTTCCTTATTTGTATTTGATTGTTTTCTCTTGCTATTTTTGTGCTCATTTATTATAGTAATGGGATTCTTTAATTTTTTTTATCTATTATAATCTTTGATCTAATTAGCAAATAGGATTGGATAGAATCTAAATTAATAGGTTGGTCTCTCAATACACATTGAGCACCTACTTTATTTTTCTCACGCACATATTGGCCTTTATATTTGGGTCTGTGAGCACTGAAGGTAAGCGAAAGTTTCCAGCAATTTTCTATGGAGTTTTTGAAACCATTTTTAAATATTAAAGGATAAAATTGCACCACGTGTGAGGGAGGAAAAAGCTCTTTCAACACAAGAAATAATGATGCAGTGATAGATCCAGTTGAACCACGCACACAAACACAAGAGTAAAGAAAGCAATGGCATCGGATTCGATCCCTGCAATTAATGAAGCTATAAGGAATTGCACATCAACTTCACCTCTACACCCAAAAGAGACCACTCCAGCCTGTTGATTCTCTCTTCGTTCCCACTATCTCTCTCTCTCTCTCTCCCCGCTTCTCTATGGAATTCATCAAACTTTGTTTCTGCAAATAATGTTTCTCATTTCCTCTTTCTCAATCATGTCAAAACCAGAAAAATCCCATGCTGTCGTCGACGACCCTTCCCGCCTCCAGTGATTCGTACGTTCTGCTTTCAGCTTTTATACGTATTTTTGCAGTATATTAATTACTTATACTTAGATTTATTTAAATACTTTTATTATTAATATTATTGTTATTACTATTTGATTGAATTGGAAGGATTTGTATAGAGCAGGAGTACCTGGAGATGGAAGATGTTTGTTCAGATCAGTGGTATATGGTGCCTGCCTCAGATCTGGCGACCCATCTCCCAGCAACGCCAAGCAAAAACAACTCGCAGATGATCTCAGAAACAAAGTCCCAATTTTACCCTTTACTTCTTTCTTATTCAAAAAATAATCTATGTTTTTTTGGCATGTTTCGTCATATGCAGTTTGTTTCTTTAACCTTAATTTTCTGACACATATATGAAGAGTTAATAATGTCATGTTGAACTTAAAATTAATGGTTTGTACAGGTAGTGGATGAATTCATCAAGAGGAGAGCAGACACTGCATGGTACATGTGATTTTTTTTTTAATGGTTTTTAGAGAGCGAAATGTCAATGAAGAAATAATCAAATCTTGTATTGGATAGGTTTCTTGAGGGTGACTTTGACACCTACACAGGACAAATGCGAAAGTCTCACGTTTGGGGAGGGGAGCCGGAGCTTCTCATGTCCTCTCATGTTTTACAGTAAAATCACTACTTTACCTTTGCAAATTCTTTTGGTTCTTGATTTTTCTCGGGCAAGCTTTTATATTACTTCAATCATGTTTACCTATAGTCAAGGAAATATTAAGATTTACTAATTTTATCTAAAATTTAATAAGTCTTTAACTTTACTTCAATTAAATATATATTTTAATAATATAATTTTTTTACCCACATTTAATGGGATAAAAGAGAAAATTTATAATAAAATTTAATGACATGACTTACCAATAGGATAAATAAATTTTTCTTTCTACTTCATAAATAGAATTAGATTAAGTATATATAATTGAAAATCATACTTCTTCCATCAGTATTATAAGATGTTTTTAATAGAATTACACTTCCAATTAGTTAATTAATTGTTTTTAAAATGACACTATTTTCATATTTTTCCTTATTTAATAGTATATATTAATTAGAATACTTTATTAATTACACTCCCAATTTAGAATTTTTTTTAAAATAATTGATTGCACTTTTAAAGACATAAAATGTCTTATATTTTTTAAACATCTTAATTTAAAAAAATGATTTATATTTTTCAATGGGGGTAGGAAGTATTGTTTTATTTTGTTCCAAATTAGGCATGTTGTATAATCTTTGAATCAACTTGCTTTTGTAATGAATGGATCAAACCAGGTAGGAAGTCAAATATGAAGTAATTAATATGGTGAGTGTAATTAATTTAAATGTGTAGGATGCCAATAAGAGTGGTGATGCAAGACAAGAAAAGCAGAGGAGTGAAGGTGATAGCAGAATATGGGCAAGAGTATGGGAAGGATTGCCCAATCCAAGTGATGTATCATGGTTATGGTCACTATGATGTGCTCAAGACTCAACCTGCTTCTACATGTACTCACTATACTTCTAACAATATCTGTAAGGACTAACTTTAATTTACAGTATCTTCATTGGTAGGATTCTGCATCACCCCCCCCCCAAACACACACACATATTTGTACTCCTCCGATATTAAATACAATAGCTTATGAACTAAAATTAGTTATTCGTAAAAAAACAAATATGTGTGCTTCTTCTTCTTCTTTTTTTTTGTAAAAAAATAATGAATGAATGACATAAGTAACAAATTTTAAAATCTTACATTTACGTTTATGACCAAAACAAATGTTTTAAGGGTTAAAGGGCAATTAACTCCTAAATAACAAGCTTAGAAGCATCTAGGATCCTCAACTTGTTTTTCTATAATGTCCCTCAACTTTTAAAAACAATGTAATGCATAACTTTTGCCCTTAAAAAGTTAACTTTAAATGTTGATTGACTAGAAAATAATAGAAAAAGACTAAAAAATTATAGTGAAGAACCTAAAAATTACAGACAATGATTGAAAAAAATTACAAAAAGAATTAAGAAAATTTTCTAATCAACTAATAGTTAAAATTAATTTTTGTTAACGATTGTAGTTACATTGCATCATTTTTAAAAGTTGAGGGACAACGTCGCATAAAAAAATGAGTTTAGGGTTTCAAATACTTATGGACATATAATTTGGAGGTTAAATTACTTTTAACCCATTTTTTAAGTTTTTTGGCCAGATTTTTAATTGACTTCTACTTAAAATCCAAACAAGGGAGTACTTGTGTGTGTGTGTGTGTGTGTGTGTGTGTCTGTCTGTCTGTCTGTCTGTCAAGATTAACTTGAGATTGTCTTTCCATCAAACCAAACATATTACTCCATTTGTTAAAAAAATGTAATGTATTTTTAATCCAATTTCACTCTTAATAAATTAGTTAACTGTTTTAAAACTAATATCATAAAAAAGTTAACGAACATGGTTTATTTTGCTATGAATTTAAAATTTTAAGGTTTATTTTACATATTTTAAGAATTTAGGGTCCAGGATAATTTTTGAGCAAAAATTCAGGGTCCTATTTGCTCATTAACTCTTCTATAACTTTTTTTGAAAAAAAATCAAGAATCTTAACTAACTTTAATCACATTTTTAATCTGTGCTGTTAATTAAAAATGTTTTATAAATAGGACAAGAAGTAATACATATTAAGCAATTTGGTTCCAATGGTGTATGATTAATTTATTCCAATGCTTGAATGATAGTTGGAAGAATGACAAATAAAGATTTTTAAAAAATATCAATGACTTTTTGTTAAGAATAGGGAATGATCGTCCGAAAATGAGACGAAAGGAGAGGAGAGATGAGCAAGAATAGTTGAAGGGCACCACATTTTAATTCAAAATATCAAGACTCAAATTTATAGGTTTCTTTTTTTTATTTTATATTAGTTATTAAATTCAATTTTATTTTATGTAACATTTACTATATCATTTTATGTTTATTCTTGAACAACCTAACACATCTTATAACTATAATTTCAGAATTTACAACTCAAATCTCAATATTTAAAAATTGATTCTCTCCTTTTTTTTTAATTATTAAAATTTGATTCTTGAAAGCCTTTATTTTACATTGGTCTTTCTCATCCCCCTGTAAGAATATCGATCCAAGCCTTTATTTACAATTCAAACTTGGTTCTTGAAAGCCTTTATTTTGAGAGAGGCGAGTCCAATAGTTCATCCATGTGGATCTTACCTTTCTCTCTTTGGACCTAGATTTTCTGTTGTTTTATGACACTTGTATGATAATTATATATTTTTTATTTTATAAGAAACATTATATGAAACAAAAATAACATTCTAACTATGACATTTACAAAAATGATAATTAACATTAAAAAAATTAAAATTAACTGTTTAATACGATTTTTGGTTAAAAAAGTAACAAAAACCAATTTGATTGCTGTTATTGTTATTGTTATTTTCTTTAGGTAATAAAAAAAGGCAAGCAAAAGCTTAAAAAAGGGACAAAAACAACTAGTTAATAAGTTTTTTTTATTGTTTTTGATTAATTCAGTTCACCATTAAAAGACTGGTTAATAACTTAATAATAATTCATAATTTCGACCAAAAAAAAACGTAATTCATAATTAGTTCACACATTTCTTTTTTTTTTTTTCTATATCACAATTGCTTGTAGGTCATGGATAATGTATGCCTGTGATGAAGAAGCAAGTATCTCTTGAGAGGCGCGACTTGAGCTTGTTGGATAAATTACGGATGAAGAAATTTTTTGATTTTCCTTTGGCCTCTAAGAAACTTTTACTTTCCCTTTAAATTAAATATTTCTCTACCTACCTGGGAAGGTGAATTTATATATTGTATGACCAGTTTTGATATCACACACACACATTTTCAAGTACAAGTTAATTACTCCAGAATTATTACTTCATTTTGTATAATACTATCAACTAGACGGCACCACGTTGGCTGCTATTGAAAACTTGAAATGAAAATCAAAGAGTGGAGAAAAATATGTTTCATAAATAAGAAATTAAAACACATTATTGAATAATAACAAAATTAGTATTACAAATTTATTTAAATATATTTTTTGGCATTTTACTGTTTCATTATTTCAACCAAATAGAAAATAGACGTTCCGTCCAAGGAATCTATAAAACTATTTGCAAGAACTATTTGAAAAAAAACAAAAAATATTACAAATGTTTGCATATAATTGGCCTAAGCAGTTGATGATCTGGAATCCGATTTGGAAAGGCTTCATTTGCTATTCCATTACTCCTGAAGTTAAGAAGGACTATTCTTTCAAGTCACTCCCTGTGATTTTTACGTACAAACTTATATATAATTATATACATAATTTTTATAATTTAAATTATATGATTGAATTTTTCTAAAAAATATTCATAATATAATTTTATTGCAGGGCCTAATTTTAAAATAATTATACATGGCATATATTAGTACAGTTATTAAAAACATAATGAAATATTTTTTTTCAAGAAACCGTTTACATTTTGGAAGCTGGTTGATATGTCCGAAACAGCAAGCTATAATTTTATTATATTATTTTGACCTTATTGGACAACCAAGATATTTAGTTTCATGCCAAGTTAATGATATTTTTTTGTGCATAATAACTTCTGGTATCCTAGCCTACAAACGCTAGGCCAAATTAATCTAGACCAAGATTGAGTTGGCCTATTTTGGGAGAAGCCTCTACTATATTTCTTTGGAAAATTTATCATGCTGGCTAGATTTTCAAGATTTAAACTTGAGATCTCTTGATTAAGCTAAAATGATCTTGTATTATTCAATTTAAGTGTTCAGTGGTAAGTTAATAATATTTTTATCTTCTTTGAAAAGAGACATATTTCCTTCCGATTATATTTATAAAATTGAGAAAAAAAATTAATCATATTTATAAGACATGTTATTAACTTTTTATCAAAAACTTTTTCTTTTATCGCTGTTAAATATTAGTGAGAAAAAAATATATATTTAATGAGAATGAAGTAAAAAATTTGTTAGATTTTTAAATAAAGTTAATGATTTTTAAATTTTTCTCAATTTTAATATAATAGTGAAAGTGACTTATAAACAAAAGTAGAAAGAATATATTATTCAAGTTTAACACTTTAACAAAAATATTAAAAATTGGGTCAATCTTGATAGTTGAACTAATAAATCATATTTTTTTTATAATTGATTTAATTATAGTTCAACTAAAATTTTGACAATTAACTATTAAACCAGCGTGACCAGTCTAAGAATCCATTTTATTTCAGTACCTTAAGTTTAACAAATCCTTAACTGAAATTCAAGATTTATGTCATTAATGGTTTCCAAGTAACTAGGATTTTGAACAGGAGAAAATTTACATGATTTTCAAAACCAGACACTCATTTATTTATTCCATTGATTGATAACCTCATCCCCTTTTGAATTTCAATAATAATAATTTTGTGCGCCAAATCAGTCATTAATTCCCGTTAACATTTTTTGTATCCCCAAGATATGAAGTTACCTGAATTACACTATAAAACAAGCTTTCCCTCCTCTCTGCCTTTCTAAAACTTTTAAAAATGGCGATTCTTCTGAACTCTTCCTCAATCCACACATCTCGTTCCTCCTTTGATCGCCAAACAGAGACCTTGCAACGCCTCCTTGATGCCGCTTTAAACGACGATACAGACTCTGCGTTTCAATGCATCGCCAATCCTCTCGTCGACGTCAATTTCATTGGAACGGCGAAACTCAGGTTCAAAACGACGGAGATCGTATTGCACGATGAGTTGCCTCATGAAGTCCGGTTCATGTACGAGGAGTTCAAGACCGACGTTTCTCCTCTGTTTGTCGCTGCTCACAACGGGAATTTGACACTGCTCAGGGAACTACTGGTAGGTAACCACCTCTTTAGCAATTTTCTCAGATAAACTTGAAAGATAAATTTCGGTCTTCGCTTCTGCCATTTTCTTGCGTCTCTGTGTTTTCTGATAAGCTTTTTATTCGCCTTGCGCATATCTTGCATCAACAAATGTAAGTATGTAACACTTAATTTTCCTCCGTAATTTCCAAACTCATTTTAATTTTGCAATGAAGCCTTTGTATTTATAAATTTAAGTTTTGATAATAATTTTTCTCCTGATGTATTGTTACATTTTTTATGTAGTTGGTTAGTGACGGTCCTTATCGATTATTTTAATATATATAAATATATATATATATATATATTTGTATGTATGTATATATGTATGTAACTTTTATTGATAAAATTGTTTAAATTTAATTATATAATAAAACAAAAATGTATTCATTATTTTTACCCATACATTACTAAATACGTTGGATAATTGACGTTGACAAATATAAGAAAATGATTATATAACAAAAAATCACAATTCCCAAAAATTCTCATGCATAGGTTCAGTGCCTCAACGTTATTTATACACCATGCTGTAAATAGAAATTAATTATGCCATTAATGATAATAAAGAGGGAAAAAGGAAATTAAATAAGCATTCTATTTTAAATATAAAATTATTAAAAATAAAAACACATGAGATTTTATTTGATTAAATCA